GGCTCAAATTATGATAATCGTCATCATGACACTATTTCTCACACAACTCCTGTTTTCCTGATAACCTTGGACTTTTTTTAGATACTGATATTGTTTGAAAACCTCATGTACCACTCCTTTACAAAAATCTACCATACCATCATACTTGGCAATCACATCACAACAGCGGAAACTCGCCTTAAGGACGGGATATTGACCAAAATGTTCTTTAACAAAACTTGTGTAATCTGAACCAATGATATTCAAGTTCTTAAATAAATGGTAATTCCTTCTTTACTTTATTGGAATGTCCTTTCCTATCTCTTCATCATGCACCTCTAAAAACACTTTATCATGTCCATATTTACACTCTTACCAAACCGCCTTGGAGCAGTTATCAATATTTTAGGTATTCTTACATACAGTTTTTCAGATTTTCTTTCTTCGTGATAGAACAGCTTGTGTATAAGAAGAGACTTGTCCACATATGATTCTGCTTCAACGATTGATGGGAATTTTCTCTGCATATGTGTCATACTTTGCTTTTTTATTAGAAACATCAGATCCATCTCCAAAATCACGAGCTCCTTTACCTTGACTTGTCTCTGCCATGGTCTTTCCTCAGAACAACAAGCACAATAATTCTTGCTGTTATCTCCTTGTCAGACTAACACAGTGACGTGCCTCCTGCACACGAGGAGTTGCAGCGTCTTCTCTTTCCATGACAGGACCTGGTAGGGGCCGCTGTAAGGGGGCTCCAAAGCCCAGCGTGTTCAATCCTGCCGAAGGAAGACGTGGATGCACTTCTCAAGGTCATTCTGGACAAAAGTAGCTGGGGAGGCATGGTGTGCTGCTGGGACTGGTCTGAGGCAGGCCATGTGCTGGTGGAGCTGTGATGAGGTGCGCTGGATCTGTGGAGCCGGTAGCTGGAGTTAATAGCTCGCCAGGGATTCTCAAGGGCTCATCATACACGAGCTCAGCTACCGATGCTTGCAGGTCCTCTTTGAATGCCGTGCAGATTCCGAGGAGAACCAGGGGAAGCGCCTCAGTCCACTGTTGGTCTGTGTGGCACATGGTCATGGAGCTGTGGTTGTGAGCGCTGATTGGCCAGTGCCCGTGTTGATCTCCAGAGGGCCGGACATTGAGTGCCGTATAAATAATATGGTATCGGTTTCTTACAAGGTAGAAGTTGTATGTTGTCTGTTAGACCGGCGAAGCTGAATGTTAGAATGTGGGAGGTTCCCACACCAGTAGTAGTCCCAGAAGGCTTTGTGAGGACAGGGCTTGAATGTTAAAGACTTCCACAGGTCAGTATTAACTATACATAAGAAGATAACAACATAGAATAATCATGAGCATATTAAACTAAGTGCATAATTTCTGCAGGGAATCATATTTATTCAAATACTGTGCATGCTTCCTTTGCAAAACTGTTACACTTCAACAGCAAATTTTTTCTGTTATAGCAGTTTACCAATGTTTGACATTTCTGGTGGATGTATTGGCTCTGTCTTCAGGGCAAAAAAAATAAGCAGAGCAAAGCGTGCTTGTTTGCTTTCTTGCTTGGTTTACTCTTTGGCCATGAAAATGAAGGCAGTAATTCCTCCAAAATGTCAGTGATCTTAAAAAACTACACTGCATTGTATCTCAGATGATAATACTCATTGACTTTGGTTAGAATTTTTACAGAATATTGACTTTCACTGGGAAATCAATATACCACATGAATAAAAGATCTGATGTGGTGTGAGCATCATTTTCCTGTTGCAGGGTAACAACCGCCAAGATAAAGTGCTGTGAACGAGGGTATTGTACTTGAATGCATGGTGTATAATATTGTATACCATAACTGATAAGTAACCTCACAATAAATTGGCATTTTCTTTTTGAAAGTTTGTTTCTTTAAAACATGTAATACTCATAATATTTGTGATCACGTAATATTTGAATATGATTGCAGTATTAAACAGGATACATACATGCGCATTCTGCTGTTATGCAACAAGTTTTTGACTCGCAGGTTACTTGCTACCATTCAGTCCAGAACCTTTTGTCTTCTCTCCAAGAACATAAAAATTAGAATATACAAAACTATAATTTTGCGTGTGGTTCTGTATGGGTGTGAAACTTGGTCTCTGACATTAAGGGAGGAACATAGACTGAGGATGTTTGGACCAAAGAGAGATGAAGTCACAGAAGGTTGGAGAAAACTGCATAATGAAGAGCTTCATAATGTGTACTCTTCTCCAAGTATAATTAGAATGATCAAGTCAAGGAGGATGAGGTGGGCAGGTCATGTAGCATGAATGGGGGAGACGAATGCATATAGGATATTGGTGGGAAAGCCAGAAGGAAAGAGACCACAGGGAAGACCAAGGCGTAGGTGGGTGGACAATATTAGAATGGATCTTAGAGAGATAGGATGGGATTGTATGGATTGGATAGATGTGGCTCAGGATAGGGACCAGTGGAGGGCTCTTGTGAACATGGTGATGAACCTTTGGGTTCCATAAAATGCTGGGAATTTCTTGAATAGCTGCAGAATTGGCGGCTCGTCAAGAAGGGCTCAGCTCCATAAGTAAGTAAGTAAGTAAGATTACGTGAATGGGACCAGCAGATTTTAAACTCCAGATTAATTTAATCAGGATGAAAATTGTGAAGCAGGATACCACATAGAGATGCTGTTCAGTTTTTTACTGGCAAACACATGCAGAAACACCATCACACATGCTGTAATGCTGTAATCTAACATCCTTTGATGCTCACTGGAAAACTGACTACTGTGGATTGATTGCACCATGAACTGAACAAGTGTGAATGATACAGTAAGATATATACCAACACCTATTGTCTTTATCGAAGATATTCCCATATTCCTTGTTGTGTTGATGGACATAATATAAGCAATTAGATACAGTAACACCATACACACTTGTTACATTATGCTGTTGATGTTCAGTGGTGCTGTGTCAGAGGAGGACAAAATAGTGGCCATTCCAAAAATTGTCTTAAATCTTATGAAGCAAAATGGCCACTAGACATCATAGGTCTCTCAAAGTCATAGCATTCAATGTGAATGGCATTGGGAGGCAGCACTATGAGCCCAGTAAGCAGCTGCAAGATCTACACGTATATGTGGCTCTCATTAGATCTGTAATGACTTGTGCTAGTCCCGCCTGTTTTTTTCTTCTTCACACCATTGGCAATTATCCAAGGCACACACTGGTTCGCAATTTACACGTGGCTTTCAAACTTCAATACATACATGATTATATAACAAAATTATGCAGGAAAAAAGGAGTCGTACAAAATCACTGGACAAGGCAAAGCCTGACAGAAAATATAAGAGGCTTAAACTTGGCGGTGCTCAAGCATACAGTCGTTCAAGTGACTAGACTGCCATTGTAGTGAAAGCTATTAGAAATAGGGCATAATCTGCTATACTGAACCTGGACTGACAGAGGCCTTGTATATATTGTATATCATCATCATCATCATCAGTAATCTGTCAAGACGACAGGTCCACAGTCTCTTTCAAAACAATTCCTCCACTTAATGCGATCTAGAGCTTTCTCCTTCAAATGACAGTATCCTCTTCTGTCCCCAAGGTCATCCAGCATCTTCTTACGTCTTCTTCCTCGTCTTCTTGTCACTTCTATCCGCCCATCTATCTTTCCTTCGATAGCTTCTTTTAGAAGGCAGTTTCTATATTGTATATATGAATAGTTAATAACAGATAAAATGTAAATAATTGTACATACTGACAACTGACTTAATACTGCTGACTGTGACTCTGAGAAATGACTGATCCATCTTCTTGTTGGAGAGTGTGTCCCACATGGACATAGAACTTTCAAAAAAGAAGGAATGTGTGGTTGTGAGCCCCAGAGGGGGGGGCTTGACACCCAGACAGACTGACTGTCAGTTGCAATGTGACTTGAGGTACAAAACACTTCAGTGATTATAACCCCATCATCTACGCATTCCTCTGGTACACAAATAAGCTATTTTAGTAACGCATTATGATGTTGAAGTGTATCTTTTTCACATTCAAGGATCCAGTTGCTGAATACCTGTTTTCCTTGACTGTCATATTTTGTTGGTTTTAGTTGCTTAATTCATGGTGACAAACTTGATGATTTCATTGAATATTCAACTGTAGCTACCCCACATCTTTATCTGAAATCTCCAAATACAACAACTTTTCTGTGAAATGTCTTTCTGGCCTGTTATGTCTCTGAGTAGTCTGTCTAGGATAGTGACAGCATATATTTCAGCCATGGAGGCTTAATCCAAAGTACTTGGCTTGAAATTTCAAAGTAATTTCCTTGCATACTATTTGGTTTTATTCCAGAAATGGAGTGGATGAGCAGGGTTGTAAACTTAAACATAAAATGAGATGTTTGCTTACAAACGTACATTTAAGACTATTTTTGCTGGCTAACAATCTAATTGTTATTAGTTTTTTTAGTGTTTGGTGTATTTCCTAATTTTTCGATTTCGATTTTCATTAAAAAATTACTTCAAGTAGTGCAGAGGTCAAGAAAACATGATCTATACATGCACTCCCCATACGCCTTCATGGTATAATGCTTAATGAGTTCAGCACTGAGTCTTTTACCTTTTTTTTTTACCCCTATTGAAAAATATAACATGGGTGGGGGGAGATCTCATGTTTGCACAATCCATTGCTGTGGCTCCCATCCAGTCTCCTAATCTCGGGTACAAAAGATAAAGCGGTAAAGGGGTGAAAGTGGCTACATACCACTGTGTCGAGATTAAAAATATGTGAAGCTATACCTCCACTTTCTCGTACGTCGTTATGGTTAGGTTATGTGTACAGGCACTACGTAAGATGCAACCTTTGTGATATGATGCCTTGCAGTTTGCTGTAATTAACTTCGTGGATGAGAGTTCGTCTTGAAGGTCTTGAACGGTCTTGAGAACAGAACATCCATTCAACTACTCAAGAAATTCTGCACCTTCTATTGGGCACCGAAGTTTAACAGGGAGTACTTTCTACATCATAACTGCATTTACATACATTGCATAAAGCATGAGTTGGATCATATTTTAAAATGTTGCAGGGAAATATTTCTCGATTATTTGTAATCAAATTCCCGCTTTCATGCTGTTTGCATCGATGTATAAGGCCCAAATAATAGCTACATAATATAATTAATTATAATTCGAAAAGTAAGTGAGGATTTTAATTCCATACAGGAAAATAAACCTGTATGAATTCTTTTTACGTTTCTTACGAATGTAATGCTGAAACGTAGTACTTTCCGGTTGATCTTTACGTTTCCCGCGATTTTATGCTGTGTCTGAATCGGTCTGAATTTGTAGAGAAGTGTGGTGGGAGAGAAGTCTTGGTAATTATGAGATTGTTATGCAGAAGTTGAAAACGTAAAAATATAAGTGAGATTCTCTTTATCCTTATGCTGTTGCTTCTTATGTAAATACTCCTTGCAGACATTCGTAAACCAGTACTTGAGTTAAATTTCAGTGCTAACCAAGTCAAGAAGTGCTAATGAACCTGAATATGAAAACGAAGAATGTTGCTTGTGACGAAGGTGAGTAATGTACATATTTATGCGGAAAAAGTAGCTTTTTCAGGAGAAAGCTTTCCCTTCTTTTTTTGTCATATGAAGTTGTACAGAAACCTCTCATGGCATTGCTGTTATTTTTCTTCACATTGTTTTACGTTTGGTTTGTAGCCAAGGCGGGAGCATATTGCCCAGTTGATTTTCAGCATTTGTTTGTTGAAAGTGGCTCGTGAAATAATGAGTCATTTGTATAATATGTAGCTGTTTGTTGAGGTTCTCACATCAGTGAGTATCAAGTTGATTGGATTCTGGGATGAGAGACAACATAGTCTGGGAAAAACTTACCAGCATTTAGGAGAAAGATCCTGTCCTCATCTCTAGGATGAAAGCTGCAACAGAGGCAGCACATTCCTACAGAAATGGTGGTAAACTACTGCCAGTGCAGACTATTATATTCCAGAAGGGATCTGTCTTTGTAGGTGATGATCTGAAACAGTTATTGAATAAATTTTTATGGACATTTTTGTGAGTGTATAAATATTGATCTCATATTCCGTTCAAGTTTTCCATCCTTTGTAGGATTGATTCTCCCATAACACTCTGCACCGCTAGTCTGCATGACCATTGTTCATGAAGAGGTTCTTAATATAGATTTGTATGTATTAGGGTTTGTCATTTAAATAATGCTGAAATATTGTAAATGTAATAAGTTTTCATATTTTGATTGATTCTTGCTTTAGAATTCTACTTGTTACACCATAACGTATGGTGTTATGAACAAAGTTAAGTAACCTATGCAAAGGCTCTCTCACTCTGTTGCAATAGTGTGGAGAATGTGCAGAAGTTTGATATAGTGTCGTTATAACAGCATGTATGTTCATGGTGGCTGAAGTAATGTGCAGGAGTTTGTTTTTCTGTCCATCTACAAATACCACTTTTAGAGTTATGATCCTCATGGCAGTCTGTGGTGAGATTTTGAAATAGATGGATAAATTGTCATGTGCCTTAACTTATTGGTAAAATAAAGACTGAAAATCTGGGGTAAAAATATTTTAAGTTAAAAGAGCAGAGAGTTGTGAAGTATGTAGAAAGGTAAGAACCTAGGTTGTAATGGGTAGGATGTGTGACATTAAGCCTCTTGTACCTTTGTTTTAACTTCATTTTTTAACATTGTGCACCCCACTTTTACAGACAAGAATTTAGTAATAATGTCATGTTATAAACATTACAGCTGATGTGAAGGACATGTCACGACTTATTAGAATGTGATGTGTAGTCTGTTGGAAGGTACTGCTGTTTTTGGAGGTTTCTCTCCACCTTCAGGTTAAAAAAGTAAACCATAAAGGAAAAGAAGATGCAAGGAAGTGATAGAATAAGTGGTTGAATATAATAATATGATTATTTTTAATGAAATAATGACAGTCAGTGCAGAATCTGCAAAGCCTAAAATAATGATAAATCGATAAGCGACTGAACTAGTCAATATTTCAAGGCATTGAGGTTGTGAAATCTGAAGAAACATAGATAATAGATTTTAAAATTTTTGTGGCATCTTCCCCAGACATGCTTTGTAGGATTGTGGCCATTCCTTTCCAGTTATATGCCTGTAATAATTAGATGCTTAGCAAAGGGCCATTGAGGGTAGAAGCTGCAGAAATATAAATTTTGAGGTAATTTATGAGGTATTGCTTGCTTTACAAATGGCATAGTGAAGTTCTAGAAACTTACTGGACCTAGTGCTGTTGAAATATTTATATCAACGATTTTCCCCTTGAAATAAGAGAATTTCCTGAAGTCATAATGTTTGCAGATGACACAAGCATTGTCTGTACAGCCAAGGACTATAATAATTTAAAAATAAAATTAGGTGATATTTGTAGTCATATGAGTAGATGGTTTCAGGCAAATCTTCTTGCATTAAATCTTGACAAAACAAAAATTATGAAGTTTACACCAACAATACATACTGATTATCCGCTAACAACTATGCTTCTTAACACAATACTCAAAACAGCTGAAGCTACAACATTTCTGGGTTTACAAATTGATAATCATCTGACTTTTAAGGTGCATGTAAATCAGTTACTTCATAAATTGAGTATGGTTGGATTCCAAATGCGAAAATTATCTTATATTCTAAACAAAAATAACTTAAAACCTATTTATTATGCATACTGTCATTCTTTAATGAAATATGGCATAATATACTGGGGTAATACCCCTGATTGTCTTAAAGTTTTTCGTATGCAAAGAAAATAATAAGAATAATGATGGGAGTTGGACCAACTCACTCATGTTGTGATCTGTTTAAGAAGCTGGGAATATTGCCACTTCCCTGTGTATACTTGTTATCACTACTGACTTTTGTTGTAAAAAACTGTGACAAGTTTTTGGTAAATAATACAATATACACGATTGGCACCAGGAATAATAATCTTTTTCATATGACTGCTTCTCGTTTGTTGTCGTATCAGAGGGGCGTGTATCACTCAGGTGTTAGGTTCTTTAACATGTTACCAGACAGTATCTCAATGTTAAGAACGGATAAAGATCAAGTTAGGGTTGCTTTAAAAAGATACTTATTAAGAAATTCCTTTTACTCCATTGAGGAATTTGTTGACCATGTAAGAAGCATAAAGATAAATGCAGAGTAAATAGTCAGTCAAAACATATTGTTGGTTCTCTCTTTGTTCTGACTCAAGAAGGCTTGTTCTCAATTGTTTTAACATCTAATATTTAAACTAAGAATTGGAAAGTTGAGTTGTATCAATTCTAGTTGATTGATGTTGTCAACAGGGTTAATATTTTCCTTTCTAATTTGTTATAATTGGATTGAAAACTTGTGCTTTTTTGCAAAAGGCCTTATTTATTATTTTATATTTGTATATATTTTTTTTACTGACAACTTGTATTGTTTTCCAATAGGCTTGATTTATTATTACTTTGTACTTTAGATTTTACATATTACATTTAATGTGTATCTGTATTTTATTGCATGTGACTGTTTGTCTCTGACATGATATATGACAATTTTTATATCCAGCCCTACGGGGTGACTGTTGGATCAAAGAAATGTATTTTAATAATAATAATAATAATAATAAAAAAATACTGAGGTATTACATCAGAAACTGAAAAGACCGCTCAATGTCAGTGCCTGAGAACAAGAGAGTAAGAGTATCTTGGTATAATCTGAAATGACAGTTGGCCACCTGTGTAAGAGGACATCAGTAGTTCTGTTGGAAACTGAGTGTGATGTTGAAATCACTAGTCAGTAATTCTGTAGTGATACAAATTTTTGAGAATGAAATGCTTTTTGAAATTATCTCTCTGGACCAGTCAGTACCCCTAGATTGCAGAGTACATCTTTTTAAAACAGGAGAAGCAAGGAAATTCATTATTCTAAGAAACATATCAGTAGATCTATTAGTCAATCACATGAGTGTAGACTGCTGAAACTTAACTTCTTAGACTCTTTTGAAAAGTTACGAATTTCTTAACTCTGGTACCTACAACCATTTCAGTGGCACATAGTACAGTTGTTGTTCCTTTATCACAGGTCCTCTTTGTGTATAAGCATGGGTGTTGTTAAATACAGTGGAACCCCTATTTAATGTTTTTCAATTTAAGGTTTTCCTTCATTTAGGATTCAGTTTCAGTGGTCCCAAGACAGTAATCTCCATGTAAAATTGCCCTCATTTAACATTTTTCTCAGTTACTGTTCAGATGAATTGATGCCAAAATAAACCTTAAATAAGAGTTCTGAGGCACGAGCAATGAATTGAATCTTATGTTCTGCTTCAAATGTTAAACGCTTGTCTAATGTTAATCAAACTTTTTTTTTTCAGAAAGTGGAGCTAGAAGGAAAGATGTTGAAGTGCCACCCAGAAAAAAATTAAAGCAAGGTAACTGCATAGGTTCATTGTGAATAGTGGAGCTTGTTTCATTCATTTGGTTCACCCTGTTGCTATATGCGTTTTATGCTTTGTAGAGAACAGCAAACAGCCTCATTAGGACTTTGTGCCTGACAGTAAAATCTATCGAAATTTAATGCCTGCTGCTGTGTTTAACCTACCAAAGCAGTATGTGTGGATGGTAGTCAAATAAACTGGTCTGATGAATTCACAATGCATTGAATTTAAATTACCTGGCAAACATTTATTGGTTTGGGGTACCTGCAAATCATGGGATAGCTTGAGCAGTGCTGGTGCTCAAGCAGCCTCCTATCCAATGGGTACTAGGGGCTGTTTCTACATGGATAAAGTGGCAGGGTTATGAAGCTGACCACTCACCTCCATCTAATGCTGAGGTCAAGAACCTCTGTTCCCCTGTATGTCTTCATGGCATAGGCCCAGACAAATTTACCTTTTATTAAGGTAAACCATTGGGACTTCCTCAGTTTTACATGTTTCTAGTTTTTATATTTCTGAATGCACAGAAATACTTGAGCAGGGCTTCTTGGTGTATTTATAAGCTCTTATCTATAAAATTGGCAAAACTTCTCAGACTAGGTCAAAAAAGAAATGCTGGCTAAACTTACTCAATGTTGGCTGCCATTTCCTTCAAAATGGTCTCCTTGGGAATGTATACAGCGATACCATTGTTTTTTTTCACACTCCTAAAGCACTGTGGATGTCATTTTCCTTAATGCTGTCAAGTACTGCTTGCGATTCCCTTTGGCCCTCAGCCATGGTTTCAAAACGTCCCCTTCAGTTTCTTCTTCAATTTTGGAAACAAAGCGAATTCACAGGGACCAAGTCCAGTGAGTGGGAGGGGGTTGTAGGGAAATGAAAAATATGTTGTTGTTAGTCACAAACTCTGTGGTTTTCAGGGATGTGTGGGCAGGTGTGTTGTTGTGATGAAGGAGCCAGTTGTGTTTGTGCAAAGGTTCCCGTCTTTTTCATTGAACATTTTCTCTCAAGCATTTTAAAACATCACAGTACGAATAAAAGTCAAGAGTTGACTGTGGTGTTAGGAGGAACAAATTCACAGTGAACAATCCCCTTCACACTGGGGAAAAAAAATGGGCATGCACTTCCACTGTGATGATTGTTGCTTTGTTTCTGGATCATAACCTTGAATCCAGCTTTCGTCACCTGTTAGAAATAAAAGTTGGACCTTGTTAGCCTTCTCTCATAGCCCAAGACACACATTTAAGCATCACTACTTTTTATCATTTTTCAAGAGTCAGGAAACAAACTTCGCAGCAATGCGACGCAAGTTAAAATTTTATATTAAGATCTACTGGCAAACTCCATAATTGATACCAGTGGTGTCTACAAGCTCATGGATTGTTTGCTGATGGTCTTCGTGGATAAGTTCGCAAATTTTTTCAACATTTTCTATCAGTTTTGTTGGTGCTTGGCCACCCTGAATGTTTATCATCTTCAACTGACACTTGACCAGCCTTGAAACGTGAATGCTCTTCAGAAACCACTGTCTGGCTTAAAGAATGTTCTCCAAAAGCCTCATGAAGCATTTCAAGGGTTTCAGTAGCAGATTTACCAAGCTTCATGCAAAACTTGATGCCGACACGTTGCTCAATTTTGCCATCCATTGCAGAAAAAATGAGACACAATAGAAAAAGCAGTCGAGTAAAAACAGTACATGTTCACAATGTGGTGTCATGTGGCAGACTGGTGCAATAGGCTTGCAGAAGTGTGACCTTGGCCTCCCCTTTCATCTTCTTTCACAGAGGCAGTTACAACAATACAGTCTCAACTTTCCAGAAGCACCCCATAGTTTTAATCCATGAAATATGTGGTCCTCATAGTGGATAGATCTCAGCTTTGGGGATTTAGCGTATAGCACTTTCAGTTACCCAGGCTAAGCTCAGAGCAGTGATCGCCAGTGTTAGGGGACTGCAGGTAAGACTGCAGCAGAGATGGGCAATAGTTAAGGCAGTTCTCAAAGTTGTACTGAAGATATTAAAAACAGGCAGAAAATTATGTTCCTCTAATACTGTTGGCACACATAATTCTCACAGGACTTCACAATAAACAGTGTTATGTTGATATACATAGAATGTGATTTATGAGTAGATACTGTTATGAGTTTACTCTGTGTCAGAAGGTTCCATTTCAATTTTCGGAGGGTTTCCATTGTTTTGGCCTTATGGGGGCGTGCATTGTCTTGAAGGAAGACTACCTGCTTTCCACTTGTCTTCTGCTTGGATCGGATCTTTTCCTTAACGTCTGTTGCCAGGAGGTCTGAGTAATAAGCTGCATTGACTGTTCTAGCATCTGTTAGAAAGTCGACATGGATAACCCCCTGCCAGTCCCAGAAGAATGTTGCCATCACTTTTCTTGCCGAACGGCTCTTCCACGCTCTCTTGGTTTTGGGAGAACTGGTATGCCACCACTTGCGTGATGACTGCTGGGACTTGGGAATGAAGTAATGCACCCACATTTCATCGGTGGTTACTGTAGACTAAAAAAATGCATCACCTTCATCTTCAAACTGCTGTAGGAGATGACTGGCAGCTTGCATGTGCACCATTTTGTTGACATCCATCAAAGTGTGGCACCCATCGTGCATTCACCTTGCGATAGTGCAGGTGGTATTTCACAATGTCTTCTACACTACCAACACTGATGGACAGCATTGCTCCAAGTTCCTTGATAGTGATGCGCCTATTCTCATGAATAAGCGCGTCTGCATGATCAGTGTTCAGCTCAGTGACAGATGTTTGCGGCCGATGATCATGCGGTTCATTCTCCACGCTCTCTCTGCCATCTCTGAAGCACTTACACCATTCAAACACACGGGTCCATGAGAGACACTCTTCCCCATACTGTTGTTGGAGTCTGTGGTGAATTTCAGTGGACGGGGCGTTTTCTCCGAGGAATTTGATCACAATGCGTTGTTCCATGCTCCGCGGTACCTTCTGTTCGCTCATCACTCTAGCAACTCCCAGACAGGACTGAACAGGAGGAAGGGTGGAGGCTGTGGCTTCACTCTCTCAAGGTCGCACAACTGCTGCACAGTGGGGCTTGTTTACACGCAAATCAGTCCCAGTCATATTTGAGCCACCTTGTATATAGCATTAGAAGGAATCGTTCTTGCTTAAAATGAAAGTGGAGCATGAAAGTGTATTCACCTTAAAAGTACAGAGTCCTTGTGCCCTTTAGGAATGCAAGAATTCTTTAATAAAGTCTGCCAGATCATGTGCATATGGCAGTCCCATTTTGGCACATCAAGAAGTGGAACATCTTTTTTATAGTGATGACCTCATCAACATTGATGTGTAGAACGTGAGGATAAAATCATTATGACCTGAGGCCTTGTATAATACACCCATCTGTAAAATGTTAAAGTAAAATAAGAGTCTGTGAACTGCAACCTCTATGTAATAGATGGGGCCAGAGTTATTTTGGACAGCTGAAAGGCATAAAAAGTTTTCACCCTTGGTTTATGCTGAAATTTAAATAAAGTATAATTTGTGTTCTGTTTCCAGCACGGCTGCCATTTCAAATCCTAAGTCCAGGCGTGGAGTCTTCATCATCACTTCATAAGAGTAATAAAAGAAAACTCAGTGATTCAACAGATGATATAAAAATTATCAAAGCCATACGACCAAATAATTCATGTCAACTTCATGAAACGAAAGGAAATGTAGTTTCACCTACTTTCTCATGTGTTTGTAAGCAGTCATCAGATGGTGCAAACAAAACATTAAGCACTCCATGTGCTGGAAAAGAAGTTATAGGGCATGCAAATAGCTCTGTGGAAACGTCAAAAGTATTTGAAACAGTTATTATTTCAGATGAGACTGAAAGTGGGGCCGTTAAGAATTCTGTTTCCTTGAACGAAGTTGTTAGGAAGCTTAAAAGTAACACAAGTAAAGGAAAAGAGGAGTCTTATATTTCAAACAAAGGAACTGCAGATGGTGGTGTTGATGCAAAAGTGATTGTCCTTAGTGATAGTGAAGATAATGCAGAAAAGGAAGATTTGACTGTTAGCAGTTGCAATGTCACCCCAACAGAAGCGCAGGACAAAGTGTCTAAGAATGAGATGGTGGGCAGTAGGCAGGATGTTGCTAAATCACCTCGTGTTACAGAAAGTGAACAAAGTGAAACTGAGAACAGTCCTGTTGCAGTAAAGGATTCCGTATGTGGATCAGAATCAGAGAAAGAACAATTATCTGCAGAGGAACGAACTGCAAACTGTGAATCAGATGTATCCAAACAGATTTCCCCAAAATCTATAGATACTAAGGTTAAATATGTACCACCAGATGTAAAAACACCAAAATTGTCACCACCTCAGTGTTCTCTTTCAGAAATAAATTCCAAGAAGAACACCGCAAATATTGAAAGAACACCAAGTTGTTCACATCAGAATTCATTTTGTGATTGTAATTTTGAGGCCTGTACTCCTGACAGTGGCAGTCCAGGTTCCACACAGAAAATCCGAAAGTTGACTCCAAAACAATTGCTAAAACAGCTTGAATCTGCTAAGAAGAAGGAGGAGAAAGAACGACAACGGCAGGTAATATATTTCAAGTTAGATTTGTTAAAGTTTTCAGTGGTTGTTTCTTCTTAAGTTTTAACATTGTTGTCCGTACAGGAAATGACTTTGATATTAGAGTCGGAAGATACAGCACCACAAACACAACTTTTGTACTGGGCTCAGTCCTGATCCAATTCAACTCATTTTGTATTAGAAGATAATTTCATTAAAGTGAGTTTTATTCCTTTAGAGCCAGCCTTCTGGAGAGATGTCGACGATAAGTGCCAAGCCAGGATATTCATGGCTCTTTTCATTTTATGAATGAAAAATATTTTTTTAAAGAAAACTTTATGTATTTAAAGATGAAATTCTCTCTTTTAGTGGAACTTTGTAGGTGATAAGTTTATTTATTGTTATTTATTTTACTTCTTTTATGATGGTTCAGTTATTTTGACTGAAATTCATCCTTGGATCTGGTTTAATTCCAGTAGCGGTAAGAAACTATCGTTGTTGGAATTAAGTGAGAAGTATTCAGAACGATGCTTGGAAATACAGTAGAACTTGGTTATAACGTCATCAAAGGGACCTAAAAATAGTGTCATTATAAACGAATGTCGTTGTAACCGAAATGGGCACTTCCACAGTAGCCTTATGTTAGTCACGTAAAAATCTACCAAAAACCGAGTTAAAATGTTGCATTTTTTAGTGAAATACGTAGTTAACTACAGACTAACGTAACATTAACGTGGAATTGCCCAAATGTGTAATATCAAAGACATATTACAGCGCTTTTCACTGACAATACACACCGCACTAATACTGTATATTAAAGGTAGGCCTACTCACCAAATTACAGTAGATTACATCAATTGTTGTGCCTTACTGTACCTAGATACGAGTACAGTAATCAGTTATCTTCATCTGTTTCCTGTTACTTGCCCAATACACACTTTCTAAATTACGTTCAATGTCCATATCAGAGAAATTCAGGAATGAAAATGACGTTACATACGAGGTTGATGCATTTGTGCATGTCGTACTAAGCAAGGTATAAAAACAGTTGCTTTATGAGGAATTAGTTCGTACCATTGAATATTTGACGCAATAGACAAGGTGTCGCAGAAACCGATGTTGCTATAACCAAGTTTTACTGTATAATGGAAGAAATTTTCTTCCAGTATTTCACAGTCTGTTTTTCAATGAGGTACACATACAGCATCAAATCAGACATGTCGGTGTCACCCATGAAGTCATCGCATGGTGGGGGTTTGATCTGATTTTCTTGTTTGCCATGACAGAAATGAATACATTGAGATTCTCGATATTTGCAATTCGTGGATAGAAATAGAACAGAAACACTGGGATTTCATTTCCCAGAAACCAGCAGCAGGCAATGAACCTCAGTGATACTACTTTATGTCTCTTGACTTGAATTTTTTTTTTGTACCATTTGTAGCAGAAATTCTGCAGTCATTCCAGTCAGGTGTGTCCCCAGTTGATACAGAAATTAATAAAGAAATTGTCCTTGAAGATGTGGTAGCCTTGCTGATGTAGTTGCCAGTTTTCAGCATTTTAATTACTTCATTGTGAGCCAAGCCATTTTCTTTTTTGTTTTGTTAGCTGCAGTACATCTTCCTCCTTGATGTGTAGACAGTCCAACAGTATTTCAATATAGAATTGATCAACAGCCAAAATTTTATATCTCACCAATGATGATGTTTAACAAGTACTGCATCAGCTTCATTTTGTTCTTTGTGCCTTATAAACTTTTCCCCGTGTTAAGCTGTTGGTGCAGTGCTAGGTGTAATGGTTTTAGAAAACCCTGTTCAACCAATCCAGAAGGGCTTTTGTCTTAGCACACACATAAGGATCTCCTGTACTAACAAGATTTTGGTTGGCTACCAAATGGAAAAATTTCAGTAGCAGTTGGAAATAGTTTCTTAGGAACATGTAATGAAACTATGACAGGAATGGTGAAGTTGAAATAAAGCAGTAGGAGGCAGTAGTTTGTCAGATGACTACACCCATGTTCATAAGCAATCAGTGAGCTCTTTTATTTTGGCAAGGGAAACATTCCACTTGACTTAAATCTTTAGCCCTGAGGATGGAGGCGATATATTCCTCTGAAATGTCATTTGACTTTCACCAGACTACGTGTCATTATGCCCCAGAAGATCTTGTAGTTATTCCCCTTTTCTGCATGAAATTCTGAACTTGGATTTATGTGGTAGAATTTTGGGAGGGTGCTTGAGTTGGGTCTTGAATTTTGTGATAGTCTTTCCACACATTGGGTTCTGTCCATGCTGGACCCCAGAATATGATAGTCAGCTTTAATGTGGTGTTGCTCTTCAACAGGGTGCCCATTAGGGAGATTATGTGTCTGTTAAGTCAACATTTTGAGGAGGATATCTGAGGCTCTTCTGCCATATCCTGATGGCCTCATATTACAGTTTCACTTGCCAGTTCTACAAACAAATTGATGGCATAGCTGTGGGTTCACCACTATCTCCAGTCATCGCCAGCTTCTTCATGGAGGACTTCAAGGTTATGGCACTCGACTGACTGTCCATAAATCCCTGTGCTGGTTCTGTTATATGGACAACACACTCATCATCTGGCCACATGGACCTGGCATGTTGACCACCTGAATATTATCCATCAGAACATTCAGTTCACCATGGAGATGAAAAGAGATGGCAACCTTCCCTTCCTTGACACAGATATTTACAGGAGACCTGATGGCTGTCTGGGCCATAAGGTGTACCATAAGCTTACCCACACCAGCTTCTACCAAAACTCTAGCTCTCAACACCACCACCTATCCAAGAAACATGCCGTGCTTTCCACAATGGTACACAGCTCTGTGTGATCAAGACAGCCTTCATGTGGAGTTTGTGTTCTTAGGGGACATTTTCAGGCAGAATGGCTATACTGACTGGCAGATTTGTAGGGCCATCAACCCTTTTTTGAGGGTTGCCCAACCCGATGAAAAGCCAGATTTAGTCCCTTTCCAGCCTTGTGTTTGGTTGATATTTAACCATGTCAGCAGGTTGCTGTCTCAGTACAACTTGAGTCCCCTTTGGTTGGTCAAGGCTTACCTGGGACTGAAGATGCCGGCACTATACAGCATCGTCTGTGAGTGTGGTCAGGTGTACATTGGGCAGACAGGCCGTTCAATTGACACCAGGTTTAAAGGAGCACCAATGACTTATCTGTCTAGAACATCCGGACAAGTCAGCCATGGCAGAGCACAGTATCAATTTGGGACATTGCATCCAGCTACACCACACTGCCATCTTCTCCACCAAACCCAGATACATGGATCACATCATCAGGGAGACAATTTTGATTGAGCTCCAGCCCAACAGTACGATCAGGGAGGATGGTTTCTGTCAGAATGAGTCATGGAAACCTCTCATCTGTTCCCTGAAATGCTGTAGGAAGCCTTCATCATGACAGGAGATCTGGGTTCTCCGCATAGCCATGCAGGTCTCTGCGCACTGTCTGTATCACGGCAGAAAATATTCCCTCCATGGCTGCTCACCAGCCTCCACCCAGATGTCTTATCTTCCTTCTGTGACTTCATCCCTCACTGCATGCCTGCGACTCACTTGACATTGTTCCTTACATGTCACTTCTCTTCCCAGAACACTCTTACAATTTTTCCCTGTCTTTTCTACACCAGCAAAACCGCCCCTTTTCAAGGCCATGCTAAACTCCTGTTGTTTCACTCTGTGGTCATGTGAGGGCCCAGCAGTTTTATTCTGTCCTACATATGGGAATTGAGGTCCACTCTTCCATTTACCTCCTGCTTCCTATGTAATCTGAAATTCTCAGCTATCCAATTACTTTACTTGCCACCTTCTTTCACACTGGAATCTTGCTTGGCTTATTGAACTCTAAAGCTGGAGGGGGTATGTTTCTCCAAAATGTCGGTTGGCTCCTAACGGAATACGCTGCATTAGAACCCATTTGTGGCATCAGAATGATCACTCTGCTTACCATATACACAACAGAAAAGCAGCATGTAATGATTACATTTTTGTTTTCTGGAGCCATTAAAGGTACAGCAATTCACCAAAGACTATGAGCACAGTACAGCAGTTTGTTGCGTTGAGACACGTACAGATGGGCTTATGTGTTCAGAAATGGCTGAATAAGCACCATTGATGGAGAAGCACCAAGGTCCCTGGCCATGTTAACTGCTGGTGGGAATACTAAACAAGTCTGAACACTAATTCTCGACAGTAGGAGGCTGACTCAGAATGAAAACCAATTGGAGATTAGTTACACCTTTCCCCATGAAAACATCCATTACAGACTTCACATCTATAAAGTGTGTGGGCTCAGAAACAATTCCCGGAACAGCATAGGTATATCTGGACATATGTAACTACCTTTTAAACATGTATCGTGAGGATGATGGACCTTGTTGAATCGCAGTGTCACTTGTAATGAAATGCGGATCCATTATTTTGAGCCAGGCAACCAGCATCAGAGTACAGAATGGAAACACTTGATAACAGTTGTTAAAAAGGAGTTCAGAACTCGACCAGGAAAAGCTTTGAGATCTTACAACATCCATTGTTACACTTTTGACCTTACAGCTTTGGATTTAGATCTGTTTGGACCCCTCAGATATCTTTTAAGGGGCCGCTGTTTTGCCTGCATCCATGAGTTGAAAGAGACAGTGCATACATGGCTTACTGTTTGGTTAAAAACATCTTTCCTGTGGCATACATAAGCTTTTGTTGTGCAACTTATATTTCGATGGAAAATTTTGTCTGAAATAACAACAGATAATTGTAGATTGACTCTTCTGAAGTTAACAGATCGGCTATAAATGATTACAGGAAGAGACTGGTTTTGTCCAGAAATATGAAAATGAAACTGGTCTCTGCTATGATAATCTGAAGAATCTCAATTATGAGCGAAACCTGAGAAGGGAAGAAATTTGTTAAGGCCTTTATGGAAGTTTTAGAGGGGAAAAAATCGGGTGGTGGTCCAATCCAGTTTGACCCAGAAACAAAATGGTAAATTCTACAATTGAAAAAAGCCACCGTCTTCCAGGCCAGATGAAATCCATCATGACAGTATTTTTTATATCAGGGGAATTATCTGTTATGAATTTGTTCTTGAAAACAAAAAGTCCATTAAGAATTTTGCATTCAAATTCTGGAATGTTTAAAAAAAGACCAAGCCTTTGTTTGGACAAGCGAATTTTGCTTCTTTACACAGCCCTTTCCAGAAGGCATTTTTGTCCCCAAACCAAATACCATATATTAACAATACTTGCCAGATTTTTAATAATGACAGTTTTATTTTTCAAACAAAAATCTCTAAACTGATTATATTTTGAATGGTACTATAATGACTTGTAAGGACTGAGTTCCAGCAATGTTTTTAGGAATGGCAGAAATTTGAATGTAGGTATGAAGTCAAAAGGAGAGCACTTTTAAGGGTGACCACATCTCAGATCAGTAGTAAAATAAAGCCCTTGCAGAATTTGTCTGGTTGCTTTATTGTCAGCCCTTATAATATGATCAGACAAAGTAAATTTGATTTTATTAATTGTCCCATGGGTCAGATTGTTTGATTTATTTAGGCATTTTTTGCTGCAGTAGTTTAATGTGCATGTTTGATTTTGTATTTGTGGTAGTTTTTGTGAAGCTGGTGGATGCTGTTAGTTTATATGTTGTGTATCATACATAGTCAAAATGCAAGGGTTTTCATCATCATATTATAGCTGTAACAGCATATTTTGTTGGTTTTGCAGGAGCGAGAGAAAAAGAAAGCTGAGGAAAAAGAGGAACGTGAGAAAAAGAAGGCTGAAGATAAAGAAGAGAAACTGAGGCAGAAATTAGAGAAAGAGGAGCAGAAAAAGAAGGAAAAGGAGGAAAGGGAAGAACAAAAAAGGAAAGAAAGAGAAGAAAAGGAAGAGTTAAAGAAAAAAGAAAAAGAGGAGAAGGAAAAGAAGAAGCAAGTTGAATTGGAGTGAGTGATTTTCAGCTGCTGTATTCTGATTGTAACTGTATTATAACGAGTTTGATTATGTGAAATTATTTTGTTCTTAACCATTTAATTAGTATGATCGTATAATTACTACCTCTTAAAAATCCTCATCGTTGCTTATGGGCAAAGATTTTCAACTAAAATTGGTTTCACTTGCAATAAATATGCTGTCATGTAAGTGGTGTGTTTGTATTAAAAATTGTCACAAGATGAAGTTTGTCTCAGTATAGGTTCAGTTAAAGGAAGATGAGAAGGTAGCGTACTAGGGGTTTTCCATTATATTTTTCTATTTAAATAAATACAAACAGTTGTGATAGTATAATTGTTTGAGACTTCAGAAAACTTGCCCATAGTTTGAGTCCTTTTTTCAGTTTGGTTGTTTGTGTTACCGTATTTTAGGAAGTATCCTATAGAGTTGTTTTCCGTAAGGAGGCATTGCATGTGTGGCATCCTCATAACTCAGGCTGAAGCATTTTTGTCAGAATGTGACAGTTAATCTCCATTCATAACTCTGTCAATCAGAGGAATAAGATGCTGACATTAAAGGAGTTCATGGCTCCCTTCTAACTAAAATCTAAATATACAAAATCCATGTTCATTCACAGAGCTGGTCTTCATTAGCTTGACAAGGGGTAAGTGTATTTCTGCATTCCAGAGCTTTGTTACAGAATAAAATATGCTCAGCAAGTTTTATTGTAAGGCTGATTATATGCGTATTAACTTTAAATCTTCTAGAATAAAGAATGAGGAAAAACGAAAGAAGGAAGATAAGAGGCAGGCGGAGGCAGCGGCATTCACTAGTTTTTTCCTACCAAAGAAAGCAGAGCCAAAACCATCCGAAGAGCCGAAGGTCAAAGCCGAAGAGAATTTTATGCCCTTTGAGGTAACATGTAGCTTATAACACATGTTGGTTGCACATGTTGCTGATAAAGGCAGTTGTCTTCAGTTGTATTTCTGAAGTCTATGACTGGCTGTATTGCCATAAGAATGTAATGTTAGGAATAGTTTCAGTTGATGCTTTGGGAATTACAAACAGAATTTAATTTTACAACATTGCTGTTTAGTAGGCATGTGCAAGAATGGCTTTTTCAGTTAAAGGCGACAAGAATTTGGGAAAAGTTTGATAATCGAGATGAGGGCTGGAATATTCCTTAATAGACCGATTTTTTTTTTCACTGTAATAATTTATAGCATTAGGCACTTTCTTATGATGCACGAAAGTATACTACCATATTTTTCCCGTTGGAAGATGATACCAAATGTAAGATAATCTCACATTAGGAAACATATCTGTGCAAAGTAGTTTTATGACTTCATTATATTCTCTTACTGGAAGCATGTGAAAAAAATTCAGTATTAGAAAATATGTTATATGTGACATTTATTAAATTGGTTTCCTTCCTGAAGTTACTGCAGTTTTTTTGGGTTCACCAGCCTCACTCTGTTCACCATTACTAAATCTACTATAGGATTCTGACGATGGTGTATAACACACTGATATGTTGGGATTTTGGACTTTATCCATTGTCCTGGTTTTTAAGATAACAAATAAAAACACGATGTTTCGGAAACNATTACTAAATCTGTTTTGGCCTAAGCGTTGTAAAAATTCCCATCTGCTGCCTCACATTTCCTGCTATCAGTCATGTTCATGTTGGTATCAGAGTACAGTTGGTTCACATGACCCCTCACAGTGGTGGTTGTGAAGAGTTCTTCTGGGATATAATGCCACATAGTCTGGTGAAAGTCAACAACATTTTTGAGGATCGTATTACCTTCATCTTCAGGGTTGAAGAGTGAAATAGAACTCTTAATCCATCCCTTAGATTAACACATCATTGTTTAGGCTTTAGGTGCAGTTTTTGGATTAAGTAGCATACAGTGTGGGGAATTTGGATAGCTCATTCAGTATAGTAACTTACTACAGGCTGGATGGCAAAGGTTTGAGTCTCAGCAGGGGCAAGAGATTTTTCTGTACTCCACAATGTTCAGACTGTCTGGAGCCCCCCCAGCCACCTCTCCAGTGGGTATTCGGGCTCTTTCCCCAGTGTAAAGTGGCCAAGGTGTGAAGCTGACCACTCACTTCCTTCTAGCACCAAGGTCAAGAATGGTGGAGTTATTCCTCAGCTTCTCGTTATATCTTCATGGTGTGCTTATTTGATTAAGCACAGGGGGACAACTTTACCTTTTATCATATACAGTTTTCCACCTCTGTGAACATTTGTGGCGAGTTGCATCATTTCGCTGCCTTTGCTTTTCATGACGAAGATTTTGCAGCTGTGGCATCAGTGTTGTAAGTGGATGGCAAATCAAGATACCCTGACATTTCATCAACATAGCCCTGAAATGCGATGTATCATTTTGCAAATTGAACTTCTTTGCTTTAAAGAAAACCTGTTTCTCCACATCATTTTTACATAGAACCCTGGGGTGGACTTGAATTTGCTTTCGCTCACTGAGTTTTAAGATGTTCCATTCATGCTTTGAACTCATACTGATGATGATATTGTCGTGGGGCCTGATTGTGGAGCAGGTGGCTAGGTCATGTTTCTTGTCCTATATGCTCCTCTCATCTGTTTTGAAATATCAAGATGTCTCCCCTTCAGTGTTATTCAAGGCAGTGCCATTCCAAAGGCTGTAGTCACATGAGCACTCATGAAAAGCTTCCCAAAGTATGTTAACGCCTATAAAACTGTAAGCTGTTATGCAAGCTGTTAGAAGTTCAGTGCAGTACATTAGAAGTTTCGCTTATTGGGTCCACTCGGCACGACGGCCACTGATTGACCTATTGTAGCCTGCCCCGGTTGATTATGTTAATGGAAAATTTGGTAGAATGAAAATTGGCAAGTGAAACTGAAGTACCCAAAGAAAACCTGCCCCAGCATCACTTTGTCCACCACAAATCCCACTTGACCAGACCCGGGATCGAACCTGGGCTGCCACGGTGGGAAGCCAGTGACTAACTGCTTGAGCTATGGCACGGCCTAAATTAGAAGTTAGTGCAGATATGGGACCCATTGGTCTGTCAGTGTTCAGTTAGTCAGCACACCCCCTTAATGAGTCAGCAAGTGAGAATAGGTCAGTTTTCAGTTCAGTTCAGTGATGAGAATGAAGGAATAAAAGAGGTGAGTGCCATTGTTTGAGCAGTGGTTTTATGGTGAAATAACAACTGAACAGAGAAATGACCTCAAGAGTGTACTTTTAAGTAGTTTCAGGCAGTGGGACATTATCTTCTCCGAGTATCTGTCATTAAACAATACAGTAGTCTTGTAGAATTGCCACAAATTCCAGTTTTCTTGTTTCCATCTTTGAATGTTCACCTTGGGAACACTGTTTTCTTCCTGCTACACAGTTGTCTGTTCTGCAATTTAAATTACCATAATTACCATAATGTGAATTGTAACTCCTGGGTTGATGCTTTTTGGCCTGTTATTCCCTTTCCAACTAGTCTCTTTTCTTCACATTATCTCCCACTTTTATGGTGAGGTGCCCTTGCATTAGCACAGACTTTTGTGATACTGTAAATACAATTTACACTTTTGTTCCCTACCCTAATGTTATTTTAGGCACCTTCATAGCAATTCATGTCTTCTGGCCATCATATTTTTGTATCTCCTGATGTAGTTCAGATTTTGAACTGAACATGCTAAAGGGATTAAAAACATTTAATGTTTTAAAGTTTATTGTGGCTTAGAATGGTTATGATGTCACTGTCATTAGCCACTGAAACATCTTGATATCAGTGGGTCCTTTTCTTGCAGCATGCCCAGCACTAACTAATGAATCAAATACATTTGGCTTCATGTCTAGTTTTTATTGCCCACACACATTCAACTTGGCCCTTGAGCTCTTGGTCAGACTAAAGCTGTCAAGCTTCACAGCCATGCCTTTTTATAGGTGCAGTCAATGTAGAAGCTTCTTTTCTATTCTTAGTCATCTTTGTCTGTCAGTGTGGCCTCTCACGGAATTGTGATGGTGACCAGGGGGAAGGGGTCCTAGAAGTGTTGAGAGGCTCATACATGTTCTGTCCCTGCACTCAGCTCACAGTGATTCTTGTTAATTGGGGCACATCAGTACACAGTACTTTGCCCCAATTAAGCAGTTGCCACAATTTACAAAGTTGCATGTTAAGGGTTAAAAGTATAGATGTACATGTACATATTGTCATGTATAGGGTGGTAAACACGACAAAAATGACAGGTTCTGGTTTGGATGATTGGATTTATTAGCACTTTGGTTACAACCTCTCTTAATCACAGTCAATACTGTGATATCGCTGATTTACACACTATACAGTTCACTGTTGCACGCGCACTAGGATTCCCAGTCTTCACTAGTCGTCTCCTGGCAATGGATCCCAACAGTGAAACTAGCACCTCAAAATTCTATGAAGTCCTCATGCCATTTCTTGTTTAGCCACTCTGGAACTCAACTGCACTCTGCTGAACTAAAAACTGAACTTCCCATGGCTGTCTCCTACTGAGAACTCACATGAACGGAAGTGCACTTAAAACTGAAAATTGTTATATCTGTAACTCGTCATATAGCCTCTACACCAATCACACATGGAAAACACCGTCCTAGTGTTGCATAATGAAGAACAAAGAGAAAATGAGTCACGTGATAGCTGCCTCACCAGTCTATTAGCTCGCTGACTGTTGCCTAGCAATGAGCTATAAACATTTGTCCTATTGTTGAGTTCGCTTAAGCGAGAAGGTATTATCACACCATTGCCTAGCTGTACATATTACAATATATACATAAGACAAAAGATAAGCTTTCCGTTTATTGAATATCAAAAATACTGACTTCAGATGAGCTAAAACAATTGGTGTAAATCACATAGGAATATTTACCCTAAAAACAAATTTGATTCATTTATGCATTAAACATATACTTTTCAGCAGTTAGTGACAGAGGAGCCGATCGAGTGTACCTTTTGTTCTCTTGATTGACTGAAACTGAACAGAATTAGCACAGGTTTCTAGTGCAGATACAGCACCATCTCCATTACCCTCCTGCATGAAATAAAGTCGCGGTCGCATCCTGGTTAGTCACTTGCTTATGCACAATCATGTCATCCTCATTAATTTCCAGATATTCTGATGTCTTCTGGTGTTTCACAGGAATTTGGTCAACAATTGCTTCCTCACAATCGTTTTTGTCACTATAACATTGAAGACTTGTTGATTTGTTATTGCATGAAAACTCTTAGCAATTTCTGATGTGCATTTGCAGTAGAATGTAATTTTCACTATTGACCATATTTGGCATCTCCAAGCCACAGTGAGCAAAGCAGTTCTTAATGGTCTTGGTACTTACTCTTTGTCAACTATCAGCTGTAGACTGTACTGCTTGTAGAAGGTCAATCCTTGCACTGACCTTAGCTGTTGAAGATGATGTTCGTAGATCTTCAGTTGCTTCAGGGATGTAGTTTACCAACTTTGCACAATATAAGATCTTCAAATTTTTTATGAATCCCATGTCCACTGGTTGTACCAGGGATGTGGTGTTGGGAGACAAATTCCATTTCGATATTTTTCAAAGAATCTGTATGAGGTTCTGCTGCACAGTTGTCAAGCACCAGTAAAATTATCCTTGATTTCCATTGTGATGCCACGTCCCAACTCATTAGTTATTTATTACAAATTTCAGATGTCATCCATGCATTTTGTTGGCATAGTACAGAACTGGTAATCCATTCACACTGAACTGCTTAAAGCACTGAGGGTTAGCCCTTTCCCCTAATAACCAACAGCTTCGGTTTTTTAGTTCCTGACATATTTACAAAGCACATCACAGTCTCATGATCCATTGCTTTCTTTCAATGAAACAAAGTTGCATGTTTGTAGCGTAGGAAACTGTCCGGCGTGGCACAGTAAAATAAACCTGTTTTATCGGCATTGTAGATACCATCTGCCCAAAATTTCTGAAGCAAATCTGGCAGCTATGTGGATTTTCATTGTTCAGCACTTAACAGCATCAGCACTCTTCTTCTCTAACTCTTCTGAGTTGCTTTTCAGCATTGTACCACTGACACACCTTGTCCAGTTATGATAGCGAACCACTGATGGAGGTGTTATGTGGTTAGTTTCTAATTTATTGAAGTAAGGGAATTTTGTCAGTGAGTGTTAAATCTATCCTAGGCATTACCATAGTGTTCTAACATGTTAAATGAAAAAATCATTGCACACACCACAGTAGACTTACCAACACAGCCACTGCAAGACTGAGAGCAACTGCATCTAGGTGTTTGTTTACACAGATTGAGTCAGTGACGTAAGTGCACCATGTGGCAGCTACTGGCCCAATTAAACGGCATGGTATCCCAAATAAGTGAAGCAAATTATGGTTATATTCTCGATTGTTTTTGTTCTCCAGTATTTTTCCCCAAATAAACAGCTCTCGCTGTCAACTGGTGACCCTATTAACCAGAATCCATTGTGTGTATATGTAACATTGAAATTCATGATGACAGGTAGTTTTGTAATTCTTAAAGGGGGAAACGTATTTTCCAACTGCAAATACAGTACTGATCCCTTTTGGCACCAGACCCTGACACAAAACCAGAACAGTCATGCAAGAATTCTTGAAGTTTGTGACTGAGAAATGGATGTTCGAATCAAGATTGAGAATTTTTTCTTTGTTCCATCTTAAAAATTTGAAGCTTGCTCATGCTTAGTGTTAGTATTGATATTCAGTTGTAATGTTGAACTTTACATGACATTATTTCACTGTCATATAGTTATCATATGCCATCTTCATTATTGTGTAGAAAAGTTATGTATGCCCACTTCTTGCAGGTTAAAGCTGATATGAGACTTGCTCCCAGTACCCGAAAAAAACTAACTGAAGAGGTGAAACGGTCATTGGACCAGTGTGTTGAAAGTCAGTCAGCAGACCAGCTGTATCTTGATCAAATTAGAAGTAAACAGATTATCCCACAGACCAGCCCCTGCACCTGGGCTCTTAGTGACTTCAAAGATGACGTTATAATTTTGGGTATGTAATAATTAACCATATATTGAATGATGAATGAAGGGATTAGTAGAAAGCTGGACATAAATATATTGCTGAAACTGTTGGAGAGTACAGAGGCATTTGGTATGAGAGCACGTTTTAAGAAGTGACCGAGTTTGAATACCACATAATTGTAATCTGTAAAATGCTGATTGAGTATAAATGCATTTGTTGTGGCAATGGCTAACCTTAACCATATACCAAAATACAGAATTGGTATTGATGTTTTGTTTCTGTTTATTTCCATTTCCTCTAGTCAGACATTGTGACAGGCCATAGATTTGAAAGCTTTATGCATGTGCTCACATCTCATGAATTAAATTGATGTGAACATATGCTAGAAGAAGAATTTGGTTATGAGAGTGATTTTTGAGGTATCTTGAGAAATGCTGAGCGTGAAAAAGTGAAATCTCACTTTGATGAAAGTAAACTAGACATGGCCTCACATAAAGGAAACAAAACTGAAACTGAATTTTGTCTCTGATATATGCTCATCTTCAAAACTTTCTGTATCCTGTGGGACATGTTCATGACCTTCCACTCAGCAGTGTGGGAAGGTATTATCTTTTCATCCTGGATGTTAGGTTTTAACAAACTTGCAAGTATGCATGTAGGCCTGATTCAAAATGGGAGGGCTTTGGTCCGAGGGAAAGTACATATATATTGGTGCACTGATTTACATGGACTTCAGTGAAGCACAGGAAATCGTCATTAATTTCAAGCTGATGCTCTACATAATGCCCTGTTGTAAACCAATTGATGACTGATGATATGAAAAATTATGGAGTACCTGCATTGCAGTGATAAAGAGAATATGCTTGGAGGAAATGACATTCTGTATGGCATAACTCCAGTCATGGATGTGAACACATTATTGAAATTTGCAGGACAGACCATGACTAGACAAGGACATAGCCGTTATTGGTTTCAAAAGACATTTCGGTGGAAGCATCACATGCCAGGAAGGCTTGCAAAGTAGAGGATGAAAGGCATGGGGAATTCCCTATAGCAAGAATGGATATGTGCTAAAATGAAAAGTCTTATTATCTACAAACTGATGAAGATACAATTGGAAAAACAAGCATGTGTGTATAATTATTGACTTTTTGGATACTGTCCAACATTAAATTTTTTTTATTTAACCTTTAAGTGCCTAATGGCACCATACGGCGTCATTTAAAGTACAGCCGAGTGGCCGTGCGTCACTGTATGGGTACCCGCAATCCACACGTGCGCACAGTGTTTTAAAATCTAATTTTAAGATAGAAATTCTTGTTCTACTTACATTATTTTTGGACACCCACTTTATAAGTAGACTGTCTTCCTCCTGCATCATCTAACTGAATGTTGCATGTAACTGAATGCAGAGTCAAACGTCGCAATTCATGCACTTTTTCTGTATGTAACTCTGTTTTCCACACAAAGCGCACACACGCAACATCTGTCTTGTATTAGCAGGAAGTAGGCCAGTGATGGTGAGTGGTCTCCTATATTCGTAACGCTTATAAAACATCACAATTTCAACTATGCACCATGGCCCATTTTCGCATTGAAGGAGCCGAAATTGAGAGGCCGCTTGTAAATCACACCATTCAGAATGCGGGGTTATGAAGGGACGAGGATGCAAGGGGCATTGAGGGGAATATTCCAAGAGTAACTCTGTGTGGATAATCGGAAGTGTATAAACAGACACAGTTTCATAAGGACAATGAGGGATAAGAACTCGCCCACACTCATGTATACAAGAAGCCAGATGATGTGACTGGAGAATGTGCAATGAAAACAAACATGCTCTCTCCTCCAGATAAGCCATAGCCAGACCTTGAGTCAGCAGCATGCATTTATACTTGCAGAACGGTTTTGTGCAGAAGCTTTATGCATTTTTGTAGACAGATGCTCAAAATTGGGGAAAAATTCTTTTTGGAACCAGTGTAACAATTTTTACAGATTCTAAAACCTGTAAATTACAATATCTGATTCTATATTCTTTCTAGATAAAAGCAACGTTTATTTTGTTCGTTTATCAGAAAAATTGTAGAAATCACAGTATTTTGAGTAACATGATTACAATTTTTATTACTCTACAATGGCGGGCATTTAAATTAAATCTCTCCCCGCTGCCACTACCGAATTTAAATGGCCGTCTCTTAAAGGTTAAAATATTTCAGAGATGACTTTGCCTCCATACTCAGGCAAAAGGCCTACTCAGCTGGGTATAATTGATAGGGCTATTCCCCATCTTCAGGCCAGAAAAGCATATGGCTGTAGGCCAACCCCAGCTGGATGAAAAGATTGGTCAAGAGAGTTCAAGAATCCTGAATCCTACAAAATTGAAGAGACATGAAAGCAGCAGACTGGAGTATGAGGATATTATTGCTATAGTATGGGATGATGACCTGGGATGTTCTAATTTTGTCAGCAAATTCAGGTCCTGAAACCAATATTATGTTGTCCATAAAAGAGGATCAAGCAGTGAAGGAATTGATGTTCTGTCTCCAAAAGCTGTCGTGAACTACACAAGGAGAATGATGGGTATTGATGTCAGTCAGAGAGAAAATATTATATAGTTGGGTGGGGCTGTATTTTTGTTTCTGTTATGAATATAGCATCATGAACAGATTTTATTCTGTGTAATCCAGCAAGCAGACCTGACATATATCATGCCATTAGGCTCTGAGAAGCAAATGACATAAATTTGTAAGAATTGCAATCATTATGTCATGTTGTTTGATTTCATATGACCAAAAAGGGATATCAGACTGCAGAACTAAGAGGACTATAAATTGTATGTGTGAGGGCTATTTGGAAAGTAACCCACTGAGCCGTTAACAAAACAAAGAACAAAAATGGGGGCAATACAAAAATGCATAGGTACGCTTAAATATGTATGTATTTTTTGTATTGTCCAGATTTTTATCTCTTTTGTTAACGGCTCACTGCAGGTTACTTTCCAAATAGCCCTCACACATACAATTTATAACCCTCTCTTAGTTTTGTAGTCACTTCTCAGTGTGGTCACTACTGGAATTGAGGCACTTATATTGGGGAATAAGTTTTTATATGCATATTTCAAAGAAGTCAGCTGCCTGTGAGATCAGCCACATTTTGACAGCTTCCATCAACTCCTCATTGTTGATCACAGCCAGTTCTTGATGTAGGTAAACAGGTGGTACTTGGTCGGAGCGAGATCAGGGCTGTAAGGAAAGTGGTCAAACAACTCCCAGTTGAACTGCTCCAGCAGTGCTCAAGTGCAAGCAGCTGTATGCAGACATGCGTTATCATAGAGTAGCACTACCCTGGATGTCAGCATTGCACCCCTTTTGTTCTGAATGGGCCTATGCAGATTTTTAGTGTTTTGCAATACACTTCTGACATTATTGTGGTCATTGTTGCATGAATTCCACCATCAGCACTGATTTTCTGATCTAGATAACAGGTGCCATCAGCTTTCCAGTAGGCAGATGTTTGTTTAAACTTTTTCAGCTTGTTTGGTGAATGTGTATGCATCCACTACTTTGATTGCTTTTTGCTGTTAGCATTCACATATGAAACCCAGGTTTCATCACCTGTTACGATGTGATTGAGAAATTAGTTGCTGTCTTTGTGGTATGGCTATAAAAAGTCGAAGCTGAAGCCATTCTCAGCGTTTTGTGTGCACCTGTATTTTCAGAACCCATCTTGCGCCAAGATTAGCTGTGATAATCTTGTAGAGAACAGTGCTTGAAATTTGTGGAAATTCACACGAAAGTTTGGAAATCATGAAGCATAATTTTTGCAAATTTTTTGCTCAGTACTTTGAACAAGATCATCACTCACTATAGATGGCTGACCAACCACTCTGCTTTTCACTGCACGCACTCGTTCTCCCATCTTTGAACATTCTACACCATTCACTCGTTACATTTTGACTGTAAACTAAGCATAATTCACGATGGGTTTCCGCAGCACTCTTGTACAGGATGGGGCGCAGAAACCTACTTTTTGTGAAGACACATTGTGAAGGGAGCGGAGGTCACAGAAGAGTGGGGATAGGCTTGGCGAACGCAGCAGTCGCGGAAGTTTCTGTCTAATACCCCTCAGTAGGAAACATGAGGTGGACGAGTGAGCAGCGTGCGTTTGCTGTCGAAGCCTATTTTTCGAACAACCATTCCTACGTGGCGGTGCAGCGTGCGTTCCGTACTCACTTCAGAATTAAACCCACAGGTCCAGTTCCCGACTGGAAATCGATTGTTTTCTGGGTAGAGAACTTTAGGGCAACTGGGAATGTGGTGAAAAAATCATCAGGATGACAACGGACCATTACGATGCCAGAAAATGTGGAGGCATTTCAACAGTCGATTTTGAGATCTTTTTTGAACCAGCTCGTGAAGAAATGCATCTAGGAAATGTCTGGTTCCAACAGGATGGTGCCACGGGCCACACAGCCTGAGCTTCGATGAAAGTTTTGAGGGCAAAGTTCCCCGGACAGCTCATCTCGCTTCGAGGTGACATCCCGTGGGCAGCNAATTACATGATTTAAAACTTTAAAGTATGTTCTTTCATTAGCTAAACATAAATTTTGTCTATCAGCAATAATTTTTCTTTTATTTGCCTTCAAAAAAAGGAAGTTTCTGCGCCCCACTCTGTATTTAGTGTCTGGGAAGTGGATAACAGCGCAAATTTTGCAGCTGGTGAGATTATCAATTGCAGGACACATCGTAATTCTCTCTGTAGAGACAAGAACAAACACTAGGTGACCAGCTATGTGATGGTTTACAAGGCAATGAGTCATGTGACACTACCTAGCATGTGTGAGCTCTCCTTCACTCCTACATTAGTTGCCTAAAATAAATAGAGGTTACTTTCTGAATAGCCCTCACGCTTAACAGTGTACAATTATTATACCAATTTCCAAGAAGGGTGATAAAACTGACTACAGTAATTATTCAGGAATATCATGGTTATCAACTTTATACAAAATTTTATCCAATATTCTCCTAAGGTTAAGGCCAAGGTTAAGTCTTCAAGAAAGCCTATGATTCAGTTAGAAGGCAAGCATTATACAGTATTCTCATAGAGTTTATGGCACCCATGAAACTAGTTACGCTCATTAAATGTCTTTAATTGAAACCTATAGTAAAGTTCTCACAGGTAAACATTTGTGTGATATGTTTCTTATCCAGAATGGTCTAAAAGAAGGAAATGCTTCATCACCTTTGCTTTTTAACTTTACTATAGAATATACCATTATTAAGCTCAGGAAAACCAAGTGGGACTGAAATTAAATGGGACACATCAGCTGGTGGCCTATACTGAGGATGTAAATCTACTAGGTGATGACATAGATGCCATAAAGAAAAACACAGAAACTACTGGATGCTACCAAGGAGGTTGGTCTAGAAGTAAACGCAGAGAAAATTAAGTACATGTTGCTGTCTCTTCACCAGAATGCAGGGCAAAATCATAACATGAAGACAGCTAGTAGATCTTTTGAAAATGTGGCACAGTTCAAATATTTGGGAACGGCAGTAACAAATCAAAATTTGATTAATGAGTAAATTAAAGAGGAAATTGAATTCAGGTAGCACATTTCGCCATTCAGTCTGGAATCTATTATCTTCTTGCTTGCTGCTTAAAAATGTAAATATTAGAATATGCAAACTGTAATTTTGACCCTGATTTTGTATGGGTGTGGAACTTTGTCTCTGACATTAGAGACAGAACATAGACCAAGGGTGTTTGAGAGCAGGGTGCTGAGAAGAATATCTGGACCAAAGAAGGATCAAGTGATAGGAGGTTGGAGGAAACTGCATAATGAAGAGCTTCAGAAGTTGTTCTCTTCACCAAGTATAATTAGAATGATCAAGCCAAGGAGGATGAGATGGGCAGGGTATGTAACATGCATTAGGGCAAAGGGGAATGCATGTAGTATATTGGTGAGAAAGCCAGAAGGGAGGAGACCAGTAGGAAGACCTGAATGTAGGTTGTGAAGTTCCTGAGTAGCATCACAACTGATGGCTTTTCAGGAAGGGCTGAGCTCCATGGAGTTAGTTAACACTGTACAAAATTATATCTGAGTAATATTCCATAAAATGTATTCCCCATACCTGTCATTTAACTTGTAAATGCCTGGGGAAGTATCTATGGTGACAGCACAGCACGATATTATTTTAAAAGGAAGGGACATGGGATTAAAAGTGTGGACAAATCCTGATTTTTATCACCTGTCGCAATCATGAGAGTAGATGGTGTAAGTGTGTTGCAATCTAAGATGGATATTTGAAAATGAACACATTGATCTGGATACTTAAAACATGTCACAGTATTTAAGTTTTGAGGTTTTCACAGCGATGACTATGAAGAAAGTCGTCTTCTGGGTTTTGGCGCTGTGTATTCTTCGTTTTGGCTGACGTTTCGGAGGAACGTATCACCTCCAGTAGCTACTGCTTTCTGCATTCACAAGCCATTCACCTGCTCTGAAGATGGAGGCGAAACGTCAGCCAAAACGAAGAATACACGGTGCCAAAACCCAGAAAACGTCTTCCTTCATGTCACAGTATTGTACATAAAAATTCTCTTATTACTTTTTGAACAGCCTTTTAAGTGGTTAATGGAGAGTTAAATTATATAAAGTAATTAGAATATAGACAGACATTTTTATTTTATCCCAAATGATTCTGCATTATGTTGCAAAAGCATTGTTTGCTACAATTGTAACTCCAGCATGACTGCAGTGAACCATTATTAATATAGGCTATGTGGTCTACCTTGTGAGCTCTTAAAATATTTACAATTTGGGTACTCTTACTATGTATATGGTTGAAACCCATGTCCATGCCTTTGAATATCTAGTTCTGTTTGTGTACTGCGTAGATGATGATGATATCCCCAGTAGTGTGACAAGCAACATTGTTGAATCATATCCTCCTGCCGGTCAATTGCCTCACCCAAAATTGCTACAGTTCTGGGAGAATCGTCGTCCACCTTACTGGGGCACATGGCGCAAAAGGAGCCAGAGTATTGGACCTAGGAACCCATTTAGCATTGATGTGGTAAGTAAAGGAATATTCGTCGGAATATAGAGTTAAAGTATTCATACCAGCAAAAAGAAGCATACTTTGAAAATTTGTAGGTTTTTCATTTGACAGTGAATACAAGTGATATGAATTGACATTATGGTAATGAAAATATTGATGGTTCAAACCATAATTATTGGGTGTCCAAATACACAGTTTTAAGTAAACTCTGTTTAGGGCTCTGTGTGCATGGGTTGAGAGATGAGTCAAGATTTCACACTCTTACCATCATGACTATTTTCTTGCTTTGTGTGTACAGTCTGAGCACATGATCATAAGCAGAATGGACTGTTGGGAATGTATAATCCAGCAGGGTTAGATATTTGACAGTCAAGAGTCATGAAATTACAGATAGTGAGAGTATGTTCCCTGCTTACAGTTTAGTTCTTTAGAGAGATGAGACAGCTCAGCTGGTACATTGACTAGACTTTTGCATGACAGTTGAATTAAGATCTAATTCTCTTCAGGGGCAAGAGATTTTTCTGTTCTTCAGAATGTTCATACCACAGAACGAGATGTGTCAGGAAGTTCCCGTACCAGACAAAAAAAAATGCTGCCTTAACTTACTGAATTTTGCCTGCCATCTCCTTCAAAGTAGTCTCCTCAAGAACATATGCAGTGATACCATCATTTTTTGCACTCTTCTAAAGTACTGTGGAAGTAATTTTCCTTAATGCTTCAAGTACCGCTTGCAATTTGCATTAGATCTCAGACACTGTTTCAAAGCGTCCCTTCAGTTTCATTTTCAATTTGGGAAACAGAATCACAGGAGGCTGAGTCCAGCGAGTAGGGACTAGAAGCATGTGTAATAAAAGAAATACCCCAAGGTGTTATGCATGAAATTTATTGAATTACTTTCCTTCTTGAAGTCACTAGCCTTTATTCAGCTTTACCAGTCTCTTGCCACCATTCTTTTTGCTTGTCTTAGCTTCAGTGTCTTCATAATTCCCATCTTGTTTCATTTTCTCTGCTGATGTTCCCAACTTCTTCCTTATCCTCCCATCCATTTCACCAGATATACAGTGCTTCTTGAGTCCTCTGACCATCACTTCTGGAGATATCTGTTGACGTGGTCATGACCCAGTGGGGCAGTGGTTTTACAGTGGACTTTATTGTCACTGTGGTTTCAGAACATTCCAACAGAGCCATATAAAATGAAATTGTTTAAAATGATCATCAGTGTACTTTTCTGACTGCGTAATTATGAAGTCATTCCTCCGGGTATGACCATGTAGTTGTTATTCATTGCATGAATTATCTGGTACCCAGTGTTAAATGACCATCAGGTGCATTGAGCAAAAGCGTTGGTTGTTTTCTCAACAATGCTCTTGCTGTGTTCTAGACAACCCATAACAAGTCTGCTGTCAGTCATTTAGTCACTTGTCCCTTGGTTTGGCTTATGATTATTAGCCTCACTGGCAGCTGCGCCTTGGGCATAGTCCTTTTTCGCATGTGGTAGTAAACCATCAGATTGTTTATGGTGTGTTTGGTTTGTATGCCTTGCTTTGGTTGGTTCTTGTCTCAGACATTTTGGGACTGGCTATATTGATTGGGCCAAACTGTGTAGGCTTTCTGCCTGAGAATGGAGTCGGAATTCAGCATCTGAAATATCATTTTAAATAAAAGAAAACAGGACAGTGGAAAATGTCCAGAAAGGCAGTAATTGTATTAATAGTGGTGTACCTTCATCACAAAGTTTAAAGTCTAATAATTTGTTATTATTGTTTACAGAAATTCTTTGATTATGAGGTAGATTCGGATGATGAATGGGAAGAAGAGGAACCTGGCGAGTCTCTCCATGGCTCTGATGATGAGAAAGAATCTGAAGATGAATACGAAGTTGACAATGAATTCTTTGTGCCTCATGGTTACTTGAGTGATGAGGAAAATACAGGACAAGAAGATGAAGACCAGGTATGATAGATAAAGTTGGATAATATAAAAACAGACCTCCATTAGTCAAGAAGAATTCTGACTTGTGGGATATAATGCCGTGTTGTTGAGAGTAGACTGACTGCCATTTCAGAGTAATGTGTTGGCACCAACTATGCCCTTTATGGTTACCCATCTCTTCTAAGCCTTTCCTTCCTTTCCCAGCCTCCCTCTGCTCCTTTTGTGCTTTTTATCTCCCACCGTGTGCCTCTAAGCCATGTACATGGCTTCTGTCCCATCCTCCCTAGTCCTGTGCTCACCATGCCCCTTCTTTTTTCTCCTCTGTGTTCCGAGATCTCCACTAGTGGCCCATTTCAGGGCCAATGCTAGTTATCTTGTCCCCTGTTGGTTCACTGTGTTGTATGAGAGCCAATGGAAATTGGCAGGTTGCTCTTCTGTTTTGTGAGTGAGCCAATGAGAATTGATGGGTTGTCATGCAGTTCCCTTAAACCAAAACTTTTGGCAGGAAGCTTGCTCTACTTGCTACCTGCTTCTTGCTAGTTTCTTGCTTGCCATATTCTTCAACCCTGAAGATGGAGGTGACATGTTTTTCTGAAATGTTGGTCGACTTTCAGTGGGCTACACAGCACTATATCACAGACCCAAAGACTCCCCTTTGAGAAGACAGATCGCATAGAAACTGATACGTTCAACAGTTCTTCCGTTGGCGTGTGTATTTGTCGCCATGAGAATGTGTTTTTATTTATGTTGAAATTTGAAAGTTTCATTTGTTTTTTGTTCTTTTCCAGTCTCCTGAGATGTTAAAAATAAAATTAAAGCTCTTGGAATTAGAATTTGAGGAAGAAATGAAACAAAAGACTGAACGCCTCAAACCTCGTCTGCTTGGTTGCATCTGGATTGACTCCAAAACTTCTGACTATGGTATGTGGTTTGTCACGTTACTTTCACACGTTTTATTCCAGTGCTTCAGTCCAGAAATAGGAATACAACCTGTATCCAGACATGCCTGTTCTTGTCTGAAGGGCTGAGACAAGTGACATGCACTTTTCCAGGGCATCTGACTATCATATATGTGCACATGTGCGCATACTTGTGTACATGTGAGTGAGAGAGAGATCACTCTACATCCTTAAACACTGTCACTGTAATTGAGGTCTCAGATAATTGGTGAAATCTTTCCCTGAACGGGCCGTGAAGGCCCATAGGGCTGTGAGATGTTGAGGCTGCCACATTTGCTCTAGACGTTTGGCTCAGAGATGGTGGTAAGGTTGTCAGCCCTATGTGCTGGCCACCCTTTACCCCCCAGGAAGATACCTGGTACTCATTTCTGTTAGAGGCTGGGTCAACCCGATGGTCATAGTGTGGCCGGAAGGATTAGGTAAATTAAAAAAAAATTCACCTCTTTGGGATTTGAACCTGTGACCTTCTGGCTTTTAGCATAGTATCTCAACCAACTACACTTGGTATTCTGATGAAAGTGGGAAGGAACGTTTAAAAAATCCATGACAGAATTCTTTTTATAAAACAATTTACTTACAATATAAACCATTTTTTAATATTTTATGTCAGCACGACAGAAAAATGATATGCATCATTTAACAGAATGAAGCATGTCATAAAAATTGTGAACTGGTGGAAAACAGGAATTTATAATAAAAAAGACACATTTAAAGTGGGCTGAATACATAACATGAGTAGCTTCTCAGAAAGAGCCAAATTTGTTCTCATTTCATCAGTGGTATACTGCGGTAAATGTTGGATCACAAAGATGAAAACATACATATTTTCCCCCTAACATCTGATTTCACTAGAAATGTATAATGGAATATTATATTAACTTGTTAAAAACATGTCATAGGAGAAACATGACTGAAAAAAATGTGAAATTAGAATCGGACTTGCAAGAAGGACTGCTCCTCACAGGCAAAGTTTCGATAGCAGCCAAACTAAGCTTGACACCAACCAGTCTCCAAGTAATCAGTATTGAAAATATGAATTGTAATGGTTGGACTTTTGAGTTAAGGCCACTGTAGTGGCTTAGCTTAACCTAAGCATTTTCATTATTTACTATGTTATTTAATATTACAAAAGTTGATTTTAAAATTTTTAAATTATAAAACTATTCTAGTTTACTCTAACATAAGGTCACATGTAGGGGGGTGCACGTGATGAAAATAATGGGTTCTAGTTCAGATGATTGTATTTATTAGCACTTTGATTACACTCTCACTCTTTTAATTACAATAACAATTAATTACACTTACATTACAATTACATTTACATCACCAGTCACACTGGATGGAATTCTTTTATCTTTTATATTATTGTTAGTGTGACGGACCAGAATGAAACAAATGAAATACACTGTTGCTGATTTACACAATTTACATTTAACCGTTGCACATGCATTAGGATTCTCCATCTTCACCAGTCGTCTCCTGGCAGCGGATCCCAACGCAGAAACTAGCACTTCAAATCACTTTGAAGTCTTCTGAAATGTCTTCAGTCACTCTGTACTTCTCTATCCTAATCTGTACTCAATTAATCTTCACAATTCACTAAGGACATGTTCCATTCTTGTCCTTGTACTCTAAACTACTGAAACCTTCTGGACCCCTTTTTGTGATGGCTTTGTGACCTTGACTCCCTGCTTCTCAGCTGTGACTTGACTGCAGATGACCTTCACTGTCCCATATAAACCTTCAGCATGGACCCCATAGAAAACTATTGTTGATGAAGTCACTGCATTGCATAGCATGGTCTGATATGCGGAAATATGTTTACTGAGCAATTGCCTAGCAACAGATTGCATAACCTCATTCTGTTGTTGCATGCGTGTATCGTGGGGTGTTTATTGGGCCAGTGCCTGGCAATGTGTTGATGGGTGGGA